TTTCCTACCTCCAGGGTGTAATGGCACAAACACAAATGTGGTCAAAGGTCAGCAGTAAAGAGGAGAGGGAGAAGGCCAAAAAAATGAGAGCCTGGAAAATTAACACAGAGTATACAATTAAGTCTTTTCTCTGTTGGGTCCACCGGAAAAACCCAGCTCCTCTTGTGGCCAAGAGGGAGCCACAGGCTGCTTCCTTCATCTGTATTGTTCTCTGCCCTGCATTCGTAGAGGTGCTGCCTGATGGAGGCTTATTTAAATAGCCATTTATACAGCACATGTGGAAGTTGAATTAACTTCTTTTTTAAAAATATTTTTCCCCTTTTATTTTATTGTTTTTACATTTACTTACATGTGTATATGTTGTTTGTGCCACCTCCTCCCCATACCCCACCTTGAATTAACTTCTGAAGAAGCCTTCTAGCACTAAAGAAATGTCATGTTCTCCAACCAGATGGTAGCTTGGTTCCCTCCTACTTACTAGCTGTGTGACTCTTAACATGGCAGTTAACATCTCTGGGCCATAAGGTTTTTTCAGTGTGGAAAAGAATGCAGACCTTGTGGGGTTCATTTGAGTCTCTGAGAGCAAGGTGTGAAAAGATGCTTAGTGCTATGAAGATGCTTCTGGACAGTTTGAACTCCCAGTGTCCCTTGCTGACTCTTCCTCTCAGTGCAGTCAACATGTGCCGAGCTGTCTCCCTCACAGATGGAAGGATGAGGCAGGGAAGCAGTCACCTGTGGGGTGGCTTGAAAACCCCGGGACTCCCCAGTTAATGGGAGGTGAGTGGTTTATTTGTCAGACACTTCCACAGTCCTTCCTAGGTACAGGCTGTTCTAACTAAGCAATTTGTACAAGAACCAAGGTACTGAGAGTGTATGTAACCTGCCAAGGCCAAAATGCTTATCAACAGCATACGACTCAGAATCAGGCCTACTAGGCTCCAGAGGTCACCTTTATGATCATCTGCTGTGGCTGGAATATGATTTATCCCTTCCAAAATTCATGTGGAAATTTGATTGCCATTGTAGTGATGGTGGGAGGTAGGGCCTTTAAGAGGTAATGAGGTCATTAAGAGGGATTCATGTCTTTCTTAGTCACCAAGATCAGGTTGTTGCCACTTGTATTTGTTTCTTCCACACTGCCAAGAGTTGAAGCTGTATAAGGGCCTCAAGAGAAGACAAGCAGATAACAGCAGCACACTCGTGGACTTCCCAACCTCCAGAAGCAAATAAACCTCTATTCTTTATAAATCTTTGTAAGTCTTAGGTATTCTATTATAGCAACAATAAGTGAACTCAGATGCCACCACAGAACAATGTAACACAAGTAGGCAGATCCCACGATCACTCCTATTCAGCTGGTCTGGTAGTGTTGATTCAATCCTTACTTAAATGGCAGCTGGTGAATTTCAGTATCTCTAAAGACATGATGATCTAAAAGAAATCCGTGGGACTAAGCTTCCTTCCTTCTTCCCTTCCTTTCCTTCTTTCCCTTCCTTCTTTCCTTCCTTTTTGAGACAGGGTCTCACTATGTAGCCCATGCTGACCTCAAGTTCCTGAGCCTCCTGGGTTCTGGGATTAGAGGCAGGGACCACCAGGCCCAGCTTGAGACTAAACATTTCCATTATTCAGACAATTGAAAATATAAACACCTTAACATTGTAGCTTTAATTCACTATTCAAAGCTTGGCAAAATCACCCCCCATTAAACTCATGTGTCCTAAGGATTCTGGCCCTGAGCCCAGCCTAGCTGTACTCTCTCGAGTGTAGTGTAAGCTAAAAGCCTGAATATATTAACTCTCATCAAGTGACCTTGGAGGGCTCAAATGGCACCTTAAATTAGCCCAGCCAGGTGACAAGAGCAAACTGCATGGCCAAATGGAGACTTACCTAGCAAGAGACTTCAATTCCCTGCAACAATGAGGGAAACACTTGTCAATTATTTTGGCACAATTCACTTTCTGATACCTGACTTTCATGCCAAATGCTAACAACACATGAAAGACTGGAAATTGTGTCCTCTTTACAATATGCAATCTTTGCAATCAGTTGATTTCTTATTGGTTATGCTCTGTTCAGCTGTCCTGTCCCTGCTCAGGAGCTTTCAATAATAGCTTTTCAATAGATAGTGGTTGAAGAACTAAAATCCAGAGCTATCCAATTTTGTTCATAAAGACAAGCACTATTCATTCATCTTATCTAGCCTGATCTAGCTTCTGAAATGTGTTACTTTGAAAGTTCTAGGCAGGAAATATAAGGGGGTGGTGGGAAAAAGACAAAAGGAAATTGCAATTACTCATATTTTATAGGTTTAAAATAGCAATTCTCCCTCCCACTTAGCTATCCCTTCACCCACTGCATGTATCTATAGAAGTTTATGAATAGCAGTCTTTCTACCTAGCAACTGCCTGCTTGTTCATTCATTGAATAACTTGGTCTACACTTACTGAGTGTCGCCCAGGTGCCAGCCAGGTGCTTCATATTTACTATTTCATTTAGCTCTCATCTTTTTTCCACCAAGGAAGCAAACTCTTTTAACACAGATATATAGAGAGGGGAGCATCTACACATAGTGCACTGGTTCTTGAAATTTTTATGAGCAGGTCTGTGATAGGAAGGGCAAGTTCAAGTTCAATTCAAGAAAGGACAGGGAAAATTCAGTTCAAGGAACTGAAAGAAAGCCAGTGTGGCTGAAGTACAGAGACCCTCACCATCACTTGGCTGTGTTAGATGAAAATTTAAAGTGAAAATGACTTTAAAGACAAAGTTTTTTAGCCAAGATGGAGTTTTAAGTTCAGGCATTTAGTGCCCCTTTCCTGCTGCTATACCTGCTCCAAACATAAAAATACATGAAGTTACACATGTTAACATCTAGGGCCCTTTTGTGTCTGTGTGATTAAAAAAAAAGTAAATATTTGTTACATTTTAACATTCCTCAAATTAAGTTTTTTACTATGGAAATATTGAAGTTTTAAATGTTTAGCTTGTACTTTCTAGCGACGTGCTGGAAATAAAAGGCCATCACTATATTTAGCCATGGAAGATCACTGGGTATAGCTGTGTCCCTAAGAGCCAGCAAGTAACAGCTTCCCAGGGTCCAGCACCTCAACAGAGGTTTAAAAATGGACACACAATCTCAGGCCAGTTCATGAAGACAGAATGGACGTGGGCTGCCAAAGGGGACAACATGGATGGGAAAGCCTGGTTTTCCTGGGTCAGAGACCTTTTCTTTGACAGAGAATGAGACAGTGGACAGACTAAGAAAATGGTTCCTAAATATTAAACATGACTATGTAACTGAACCTTGCTAAAAGCAAAATAATTGTATTAAATTCTCCACTTTCCTTGGCACAGAAGAAATGTTAAGTATTGACACTTATAAAGCAACACTATGTGCAAATCCAAGTAAGAGATCTTAACTATAAAAGATAATCATTTGATAAATGAGTGACTAACTGACCAAGTATTCACAATCAGGAAAAAACGTGAGCGCTGGGCTGTTTCTCTTTATGATATAACCTCAAAAAAAACCCAAAAAAACCCCACCAAACTGATTTCAAACAACACACTGAAAAAGTGTCTATAGCACTGAATCTGAGAATTTCACCAAACTGTTTTCTGCTCCTCTGGTAATGGCAGCACTGGCTACTTCAATGAATCATGACATGACCTCTGCCTGATCAAAGGCAGACATCACAATAGATGCTACTAGGGGAAAAGGGGATGGAGTGGATGGGTAAATCACACATCCCTTCTAATCCCAGTCAGCCTTCTGGCTAAGGGGAGAGAAACTCTGGGGAAGGCTCGCAAGGTAGGTGAGCACAGTTACCCTCATGAAAACGGAGCTCCAGGGAGCCATGGTGCATTAGTCAGTGTCTACTTGTAAGCCTTTTATTATTTTTTTTAATCACAGATAAATGCTAAGAAAACTTTCCTTCTTAACCCCTCAAAGAAGATCTTGGAGGGTCCCCCACATTCAGCCCTCCAGCAAACTCTCATTTACCTAGAATCATAGATGGATGGGTAGCACGTTCCCTGTCCAGGGACATTCAAACAGAAAGAGAGATGCCCGTGCTGCTGAGTCATAAATGTGTGGACATGCCTGAGGTGGGAAGCTAATTGTGGCTTCCAAATCTGGAACCAAGCATACTGGGTAAATTCTTAGGCTACAACTTCCTGTGGGGCAAAGCCAATGCCCACAGGGCTCAGAGGCCACTTGGGTTGTAAATCCAGCTTTTTGCCAGCCTGTCCCTCCCCTCACAGCGAAGAAGGAAGGATCATAATGACTAAAGTGTATTTACTGCCACTGATCAAACACCAGCAAACCCCACCAACAGAGACTCATTAGAAAGGAAACCAAGAAGCAATGTGTAAGTAGCTGACAGCTACTTAGGAGTTAATTATTCAGTCCTTTGTTTCACTTTTTCATCCTCTTACTTAACTCCTTTCCATAATTTTTTTCTGTTGACTAGGTTCCCTCAACACATTAGAGAAATAAAGCAGGTTACTCAGAGGCAACCTGTGGTTACAGGCTGTCATAAAAGGTTTGGTGAAGGGAAGGAAGTGGAGGTGGCTATTATGACTACTGGAAAAATGTTGCTTATTTTGGTCAGCATGGTATAAAGAAAGCAAGGGCTCTGGAGCCAAACAAATGAAGCTCTGGTTTCTTCTGTGCTCCTCACTAGCTGTGTGTTCTTGGGGAAATAACCTGGCAGGTCTGAGTTAGCTTCCTCAGGGGGAAATGGAAATATTAACACCCATGGGCAGTTGCAAAGACTGAATAAAACAACGAGAAGAGCCAAATAACAGTTCTTTCCACCTGGTAGATACATGAGCTAAACTATTAGAATTACCTAGAACTGAGTTTCTCATGTAATCAAGACATGAAAGCAAATGCCCTCAAACTGAGAAGTAGAATTTCCCAAATGAATGTGTACATTTTAACCTGCAAATTCTTAGTGGTTTAAATTTGCATCTTAAAATATGCATGAATTTAGCTTTACCTGTCGGCTTCCTTGCTTGGAGGAACAGCTACTTGTGCTCCGTGAAGGTGAGACCAATTTTTGGGACACACCAAGGTTTCTCTCATCACTCATCATGGGCATCTGATCACTCAGCCTTGATGCAGTCAAAATGCCATCAGCAGGCAGTGGAGCCGTGCAGATGGAGTCCCACACAGGCAGGGGGCTCAGCACTTATCCAGTGTGTTTAAAAACCATTTTGAATAGTCCAGAGGAAGTTCCTAAAACCAAAAGAAAAGGAATCAGAGAAAAGGTCAAGGGCATCAGATATCATCCTTAATGAGCCATGCAAGTGGGTTTTTCATACTACGTATCACAGGCCCCAGTGCTCAGCTTCCTCAGACACTGTGAAGGCAAGGATGCTTTTCACCTTTTGGTTTGTTTGTTTTTTAGACAGGGTTTACTCTCTAACCCAGCCTGGCCTGGAACTTGCTAAGTAGCCCAGAATGGCCTTGGACTCTTGATCTGCCTGCCTCCGCCTCCTGCCTAACACTGGAATTACAGGCATGAACCACCATGCCTAGTTTTACATCTTCCTCTTATTGGAAACTTTATATTGTTGGGTTTTCAACTAGCTTTGCAATGACAGGCTTAAGAACATCAATATGGAAGTTTGAATCCAGACACATACAAAATCAGTACTGTAAAAAATCCTAATGCACAATGAGACATCATTTCATTCACATTATGATAGCTGTAAAAAAAAAAAAGGACAGTAAGTAGAATTGGAAAGGGTATGGAGAAACTGGTACCCTAGGCATTTTTTGGGGAAATGTAAAACAGTACAGCCATGGCAGAGAAGAGTTTGACAGTTTATAAAAAACATGAACACAGAGTTATCATATGATCCAGAAATTTCACTGCCAGGTATGTATGCAAAAGAATTGAAAATGAATGTTTAAACAGAACCTGTATCAGTGTTCATAGCAACGTTATTCACAATAGCTGAAGGTGGAAATAATCCGTATGTGTATCACCTGAAGAGTGGACAGACTGCACCGGGAAGGCAATATAAATATTTTTCAGGTAAACCTTGAAAACATTATGCTAAGTGAAAGAAACCAGACTCAAAAGACCACATATTATATGTTTCTATTTATAGACATATTCAGAGCCAGGAGGCCAATTAGTGGTTGCCAGGAGTTGGGGGTGGGGGACAGGAAGGAAGGAAGGGGTATGACTACTTAATGGCTTATGGGGTCTCCTCTTGGGATGATGAAAATGTTTTGAAACTAGATAGGTGATGGTTGCACAACATTGTAGAAATACTAAATATCACTGAATTATAACCTTGAAAATGGCTAACAAGGCAAATTTAATGCTATGTTTTATGATACTATAATTTTTTCTAATCTCTGGTTTTTGAAGAATGATGCAGGATTTGTTTTCCCAATGATTTTTGGAAACATCTTCTAAAAAACAAACTAACCTGATAGAAAAAAACAAAACAAAACAAAACTGTGGGGAGAAAACAGAATTTTCCACATCTATCAGCATGCTAGTAATTAAAACAACAATCACTGGGTACATACTACTTACTGCCAAGTACTGTACTAAGGAGTTCCACAAGCATTGTCTAATCCATAGGCTGATGAGGGAGTATTATCTCTGTTTTATGGAGGACAACAGAGTCTCTGAGAAATTAGGTCGTTCGCCCAATCACACAGTTGGCAAGAGACTGAATCAGGGCACTAGCCCACCCTTTAACCATGGCGTTAGAAATTAGCACAACCCTACTGGCCAGGTGGTGATACCAGCCATTGCCCCATGTCTGAGAGACATGGGGAGAGATGGGTATCTGGATTAGGAAGACTCAGGAGAGAGAATATTATAGGCTAGCTTTGAAGACATAATACCCTATTCATTTCTACAGCACAATACCAATCTCCAAGATGGCAAAGTGCCTGGGGTGGCAAAATGCAGAGATGGGGCACCCTTTCCAGGAGTTGCTGCCTGTCACCTCTGCAGCTCTAGGAGGTCTTATTCTGATGGTGGTTCTCCAGTCCTCAAAGAAGAGAAGCCCCAGAATCATCACCCTTATCCACAGCCCTGAGTTAAGGGTAACTGAGATGTTTGGTTTGGACTTCTGAAGGTGAGGACTAATTAATACAGTAAATTCAAGCAATCTACAATTTTCCCATGCATGTTAACAACAATAAAAAATAAATAAACCAATTCACCTAGTTAATAAACAAGCCAATTCACCTAGTTACTTAACTTTAAAAGGAGGAAGTTATATAATTGTCCAGGAATCAGATAGTCAGATAAGGTATCAAACTTCTGGTTAATTATTAAATACTTAAATTTTCTATGTCTACACTGATATTTAGTTCTTTAAAACAAATATATTAAAGTCATAAACTAAAAACAATGAAGAGAAATATCTAAATCTTAGAAAATAAACTAAGGTACCTACAGCCATAGAAGTCAGTTCCCATGTTACTCTCATCTATTCTCCCCTTCCCCCCATCTCTGTATTCATTATAAGTTGAACCCAACTATAAATAAGACTAAAAGAAAACCAACTACAGTCTCTTCAAAGAGTTAGCTCTACTTGTGGAGCATGACTAAGTAAACCTGAATTAGGAGCAAATTAATCTAAAAAACTGCCAAGAGAGGCTATAAAGGGATATTAATGGTTTGTTTAGTAACAGTGTTGGCTGCTGTTGTTTGAGAAAGGGTAAGAAGCACCTGATGGAAATCCCATGCTATTCTGTGTTATAGCATGTCTGAGTACTTCATTCCTTTTAATATCTGAGTAACACTTAGATCACCTTCCTAGGTGCAGTCTATCCATTCATACATCAGTTGATGTATATATGGACTGTTTCCACCTTTGGCTATTGTGAATACATTGCTACAAACATTGACCTATAAGTTTTTGTTTGAACACGTATTTTTAATTCTTTTGCATATATACCTGGAGGTGGAATTTCTGGATCATATGATAATTCTGTGTTCACGTTTTTGACATTCATATGTGTGTCTGTGTGTGTGCATCTACATGGGGCCACCCATTGCTATGGCAACATATTCACAGTAGAGTAGGATACCAAGAAAGGATTTCTGTTTATGTGTGCCAGTTTTTTCTTCTTCTTCTTTTTTCTGTTTGTGTTGTGGCAGTGCTGGGGATTGAACTGAGTGGCTCATGTTCACTAGACAGAAGGTCTACCACTTGATCCATGCCCCTAGCCCCAGTTTTGTTTTTTAAGGCTTAGGGTCTGATAAACAAGAGTATGGGACAAAAGGTATAAGCGACAGGCAAAGGTGGGAGAGAAACGTGGGCAATGAAATGAGTCACACGAATTCTGAAACCACTAAATCAGAAAGGCTATAACACGGCCTTAGAGGCAACTGTTAAAAAAGGTCATCTTTATCTCTTGACCTTGACAATCTCACTTTGGAGGGAACTACTCATGCCAAGACTCTTCTCTTCGTAAGCTAAATCTGATACTTATCAAAGTTAGCACTTAGGGTTAAGGCCTCTGCCAACATTTGGCCCCTGCCTCTTTTCCCTTTTAAGAGAGAAAAAAGGGAAAGTTCCCATCTCCTCTCACTTCCATCTCCAGGGCAGAGCCTGAGATTATTGCCCAGGGAAATATGTCTATTTCATCCCCCATAATCTTGCTTCTAGTCTCATCACCTTTGATTACAAGTCAAGTGGGCTTAAGATAGGCAAACATATTGCCACTCTGGAGCTTCCATTAGGGCAAAGAGAACAGATTTCCACCCCCAAAATGGGGAAGAATCATTGAGCAGTGTATTGCCAAGCTAATTTTAAGACTTATTTTAGAGTATCTCACTTAGAAAAGAAGGCACCATTTGGGAGATGGAAAGGAGATGTACATACCACCATGTACCTCAGATGGAGCCAGCTCTGGTTTGAACTGCTGCTCCCTTATTACAAACTCTGTACTTTGATAAAGGTGTTCACGTCTTCAGTTTTTTCTGTATAAAATGGGGAATAATAATATCCACCTCCCAGGGAATTGTAAGCATTAAATGAGAAAAGGAGGATAAAGTGATTGCCTTGAATAGAGCAGATGCTCGCAGATACCTAACAATGTGAGTTCCATTTCTTCCTCTCCCAGCAAATGCAGCAAAGGATAAGGACCTACAATCCCTCTTTCAACCCCAAGCAAATCAGAACTCAACAGAATTTTGAAGTACCACAAGTGAGAACAGACAATTTTAAAATCACGGTAGCACTGTGTTTACTTTGGAAGAAGACAAACACAGAAGAATCAAAGCCATATAACTCATCACCACTGGCTGTGCAACGAAGCAGCTTAATGTATGTGTAGCCTGGATACAGCAGCACTCAGCACAGCTATTTATTAGCCGTTAGGGCTGGGCACTACACTCATACATTTGGTTAGGTTTGCCTTGAGAGACAGATTTTTGCTTCCTTAGTTGAAGAATAACTCTCATGAAGACCATAAGGCATACATTTCCAGTTAATTTGCAATCCTTCAATAAAAGATAAATTATTCCCTGAATTGACACTAAAAAATTATAATGGGGTATCTTTTTTTGGTCTATGGTAAAAGGAATGATTCTAATCCTAGATCCCTTTTAGAGATGGCACCTTCTGAAACACGTAATAATTATTATATATAATTATATTAATATTTTAAATTTTTTTAATATTACATGATCAGAAATAGGCCTTTGGTTATTTTGCCCAAAGTGCCTCAGAGATTCAAGATTAGAAGCTTCTAGAGGCAGATTCTAGTCACAATAATCTCAGATACTGATAAGTGATACTGGACCCTGGGCGAAGCAAGGGCTAATCTGCCTTAACTATCTGGACTACTAGTCTGGTCAGGAGAACTAATATTGGACTGTCCTAGGAGATGAACACTGAGACTCAGTCAGAAGTCTCCATTCCCAAACACTCCCCAGGAGAAGATTTTCACTGTAATCTCTCTCTTCTGGAAAGATAAGGAACTTCCAAATGCTTACTCTGTCTGGCACTTTCAAACAAAACACCCATCTCTACCCTCTGCTCCTTGCCAGCCCTTCAGAATCCACTTCTTTAGGGAAGAACACAGTGATCGCTCAAAGCTGTGCAGCCACAGAAACGCATGTGGACACAGATGTTAAATGTGGCAGATTCCACGAAACACACTGCTAGACCGTGGCATCAGGCTGGGAGTTTGTGCTTCAGCCATTTATTTTTCACCACTGAGTAAACAGAAAAGTTCAAAGACACCAGTTA